GTAATAAATATGGCAACAATGATCTGGACAATAGTCCGAATAATGTAAATAGTGTACATAATATATCATCTCAGAAATATAGACAGATTCTCTCAATCCATGTTGAAATCGTCACGTTGGTTATAAACATCTTTTAATTCTCCTTTTGTCTTCAATAATTCTTGTGTATGTTCAATTTTCCAAGACTTCTTTTCTCATTATATGCCCTAGAAAATTCATCTTTCTCATTCTGAGGTCTCGTTTTTTATTTCATTATCTTCGTTTGATAAATGAATAACATGTTTACGTACCAAATTAGGGCATCTATTAAGATGGTTAATTTGAATTCCTTGACTCATCTAAGCTTACATATTTACTCATATCTCTGTCAGCATACAATTACATTATCGTATCCCTCCGCATTTGGAAAATAATTTTACATGTAAATTTTTTTTCCGGTCTTTCAAAATATTTCTTGTATTTTTTAAAAATTTAACGTATTAGGTTGGTGCAAAAATAACGACATAATTACGTCATTGTTTTTGCACCAACCTAATACAAAAAACACTCATCATATTTTTGAAAGCTATACGTGTTTTTTGTGTTTTTTATAACAACGTTCGACCTGTACAAGGCCCAAGTGTCGCTCAAGTATCGATGTACAGAATAAGATTCTGTTACAGAGGATATGTGAGGAAGATAATGGTTTATTCATGATAAGATTATGGTGATCGTTGAAATATTATCTTGTTCGTATATTTCTGAGATGAGGTATTGTAACTAATTACACTATTTACATTGTTTGGACTGCTGTCCTCATCTTTATTGCCATGTATGTCCTGAAGGACACATGATACAATTGACAAAAGCGTTTGTTGAAATAATCCAATGAATTGACCCAAAGTGATGTGAGTTCTATACCTGGCCTCTGAACAAAAACTTCAGCTGAGTTTCTAAAGGAAATAAGTGAAACTGCGATGCCCATAAAAGGCATGGAACTAGAACAATCTACCTCAGTGGACGCAAAAAGGATTCAGTTCGAAATTTCAATATATATCACCTGAAGAATGCCGGAGCGTACAACGGCCGAAACGTTGTGAATATGACAATAAAGAGGAGGACAACAGTCCGAACAATGTGAATAGTGTAAATAATTATCCTGTTTGTTTTTGGTTGATTTGATTTCTACGGCTTATCAACCCTTGTTATTTGAAGCCGGTAAATAGATTTAGTCTGTAAGAATTTTTTGTCAGATAATAATTGTTTATTGATACAAGCATTACTAACTAACCCCTATTTGTGCGGGACAAGAGATGGATTGATGCTCTTCCCGGGGATATTTGCGCGTAATTGAATATAACGATCTCAACTGGAATTTGAACTCCGCTCTCCGACTAACCATTCCATTACACCACCCGGAAATCTAAGCTTACGGCATCTGGCATTACCAAATGAAATCTTCTTTTGTCAGTTAAAGGACATATGCATGCTTTAATTAAGTATCATATTAAGAGAATGCCGACAAGCATTATTTTACACATGATTTTTTTAGAATATATTCGAAAAGAAAAGACATTTTCTGCGATAGACGCCATAAGATTGTCTGACTTTTCGAGGTAAGGTAACTATTGGTCGATTTCTTTACGTAAAACGTTAGGCTTTTTTTCTGTAATTACAAAGTAGAAGATTAAATAACAATGTACAATAATCTGCTAAATAAGCGTTTCTTTCAAAAAAGACATCGAAAAGAACTGGCTTCCATCTCAACAGTCATAATCTAATAAAGTATAACAATTAGGTAAACAAGATATTATAATCTCAAAGCAGCCAATCAGAACTAATACTTCAAATGATAGACACTGGTGTAAATAAAGTATGTGCCACCTTAGTTTATTTTCAGCAAAACTCGAAAGATCAAGGCAACGCATGATAGTGGAGAGAAATGATCGTCCAGGTCCTGATTGGTCATGGCACGTATAAGAAGAAGAATACGACTCCGGGAGGTCTCATCTTGTAATGAGATATATGCTGGCAGCGTCAGGTTAATGTATCAGGACGGAGATGCGGCTATAATTTCAAAATGATGAAACTTAAGCGATGCTCTAGTAACATTGGCCAAGCACAATACATCAACAAAAGAGAGACAAGTACGATGAAGTGTATGACATGAACTATTCCAGATGAAGAAAAAGAGGCAGCAAACAATGGCCTTTTCGGTTAAAGATGGGGCAGCTTAAGCATGATAAATGGTCACAGAAAATTACAAGGCCATCAATTCAGTTATTTTCTTAGCCTAAAATAATTTTTACGTTGTTGCGAAAAGTGATCTTTATCATTATAGAAAACGTCAAAGTAGGGAGCTAGTAATTACTGTTGCTGATTAGTCTCGAATAATTGTCTCAATTCGATCTGGAATTGAATGAATCAAGGTTCCGATTTTCTCAATGGAATTTCATTCTTATTCGTATTGGCAGTAATTCTAAAGGCGGTTTTATTTGGGGCGTTCCCACCACAATGATTCGATCATATTGTGTTCAGAACTCAATATTGGACATTTTTCCAAAAGTTGAACATCTTCATGAAAAAAGAAAATATTTTGTTGCATGGAAGGGGGAAAGGGGCAACGTCAGGCTGAAAAAATTCCCCACCTCCGTAGCCTGCCTAATCTTAGCTGTTTAGGTTTCTATAAACTTTTACCAATTTTCTTCTACCATTACTATTCTTAAAACGATTACGTGTCCACCAGAATATTTTACAGATTTTTTTTTGTTTTTTATGTTGCATTATTTGTTTTGCCCATTGGTCTTCTTACACATTGTCTTGAATTAGATTGCAACACTATTTTGCATTTATCGCTAAAATGTATTTTTGACACTTTCCAGCATCCCATGTAGATGTTCTTTCGTCCAGTGCCATATTGTATTCCGATGTTATATGATTAATGATGCTTTTATCATTTCTATTAAATATTATTTTAATTTTAATATCATTCTTCTTTTTCTCCTCTTCTTTGTCCTTCGTGTTTTCTGTGATCTTATTCCTAATTCCTTCGTTGCTAGTATTATTCATAATCGTATATTTCTGTTCATTTTAGTATCATTCTTCTTCGTAATAATCCTACGTTTCTTTCTTATTATTCATATTTTCGTTTGGATTATACTTCCTGTTATACTTCCTATTCTTTTCCGGCTGTTATTTCTTCGAATTCCTCTTATTATTCATATTTTAAGTGTCCGTATTATTAATCATATTTTGTTCTGGATTCTTTTTCATATTTTTTTGTATTATTCTTGTTGGCATAGTTTTTGCTGTTTTTTTTCTTCTTCTTCTTCTTCTTCTTCTTATTATTATTATTATTATTATTATTATTATTATTATTGTCATTAGTATTAGTATTATTATTATTATTATTCTACTTCTTTTCTTCTTATTATTATACATTATTTACATTATTCGGACTATTGTCTTCGTCTTTGTTGCCATATTTATTACCACATTTCAGTCGTTGTACGCTCCAGCCTTCTTCAGGTGGTTGGAATGTCGAACTTAACGCTTTATTTCGCTCACTGGCGTAGACTGGATTCCACGTGACGTGTTTTAATTGATGTCAGTTATCAGTTATCTCCTGTCAATTTCCCTCTTACAGTTCTCTACTGACTTAACCTTGTATTGAACTCACACTCTTTCGGTCCTGTCACTGGATCTCACCAACGCCTTTATCCACTGTGCCATATACAAATATTATTATTATTGTTAGTATTGTGTGTATGTTTCATATATTCGTTCTTCGTGTTCGTGTTCTAGCAGTTTTCACTTGTGTCGTTGTCTGGACATTCTTTTACATTTTATTCCGATTTCCAAATCTTCAAAGAATTTTACCAGTCAATTTTTAATTCATTTCAGATCACAATAATCATTTTGCAACACTGTCAAATCTATGTTGCTATTCTCTCTCTGTATCTATCTATCAACACACACACACTCACACACGCATGGACTCTTCCTTCGGTTTTGACGTATGAGGATCTTACAGCTTAGTGGATTCAGTTATGAAATTTTGTTCGATAATCTTAAGTGGCGTTTAAGACCCGCTAGTGATTTACAAAGGAAGCCACATAGGGAGCAAGTGAGGGCATTATGAGATGAGATCACCGTTAGATTGGCTGACCTTTTAGATCTTGCTCTCGCTTCTTGATGATTCAGGCAAGCAGATTGAAAACTCTTGAGTTCATTAAACACGTTGATCTCCATTCTACCCGCTCCAAGGCTAAGCGCTCAAGGGTGTTATGTGGTATATTGACTGCTGACAAGTTGCTTTTAGCTTGAATTTGTATCTTTGCCATGGACGTCCTACATTCCTGTAGCCCTGATCTAACTGGTTGTATATTAGGATCTTGAGTATCCTGTCATCAGACATTCTCAAGGCATGACCTGTCTAACTTAACTGAGACTGTATGAGAAAAGTCTCAATTCCTCTTATATTACACTTATTAAACAGGTCTACGTTAGAGGTCCTATCTTGAAAGTTAACTCCACAGATTGCACGCAGACAGCTTTTTATGGAATATATATATATATATATATATATATATATATATATATATATATATAACGTTTGATTGTATATATTACCAGCAATCATTTTCAAATACATATTGAATATAAGGAGCAAGGACTAGTTTTTATGATTTATACTCAATTTTTCAGGTTTAAATTTATTTTGATGATTAATTTCATGCTTCCTCGTCAAGTTTCATCTTCAAAAATTTAAATGCAACGTTAATCTTTATATTCTTTCGTCTTAACCAATCTCTTTCTTTCGTACTTTCTACTTAATGTTTTTTTTCGTCCTTCTATCTCATTAATTCACACTCAATATAAGATTAGAGGTTTTACTGACTTGCTAAAAGTGAAATGATTAAAAGATAATGTAAATTAGAAATGCTCCCATAAAGCAGGGATTAGAGTTGCTACTGTCTGAATAATACGACTACACTACAAATGCAGGAAAATATACAAACAGCGGGAAAACAAGGGGAAAAGAAAAAATAAAAACTGAGGGAGAGAAAGAAGAAAGAGAAGAAAAACTGAAAGAAAGAGGAAAAACTGAGAGAGGGAGAGAGAAAGAAAAAAGAAGAAATACTGTGAGAGAAAGAGAGTGAAAGAAAAAAGAAGGACTGAGAGAGAAAGTGAGAATGAAAAAAAAGAAAAAAACAGAGAGAAAAAAAAGAAAAAGCAAAAAAGAAAAAAGAGAGAGAAAAAAAAAAAAAAAAATTTGAGATAAAAAAGGAAAAATTCTGGGAGAGAGAGAAGAGAAAAGAGAGAAGAGAGAAAGAGAGAGAGAGAGAGAGAGAGAGAGAGAGAGAGAGAGAGAGAGAGAGAGAGAGAGAAGAGAGAGAGAAGAAAAATGAGGCAATGTGGAAAAAGGAAGTAAAATTGAGCGGGAAAGAAAACAAGAAAAATAGTGTCAGGTGAAAAAAAATTAAAATTCAGTACAATGTCAAAGACGAAAATATAGTAATAAAATAATAACTGGCGAAGATCTTGAGGAAAAACTCATAAAAGAGTTAAAGAACACGATAGTCTTTCAGAATATTAAGCATATATAAAAGATGACATATTGTATCTAATTCATGTCCATAACTTTGATGTCTGAGGAAATGAATGGCTGACTGTAAAAAAATTAAGAGTAGAAAATATTACATTGTATTATCCTAACGGTTATTGTGTGGGCGTCTACCGACCTTCACACTTGAGAAATCTTAAAGAACATGCGCCCTGCGCCAGATTAAGTTTTCCTGAGTGCGCTGACCAGTGATGTTAATTCACTGCTTTTATTACCAATACTAAGGAATTTCTACTACCTACTTTTCAGTAAAGGAAAGTGTGGGAGTGATAGATAGATAGATAGATAGATAGATAGATAGATAGATAGATAGATAGATAGATCGGGATACTTCGAATTATTTTTACTCGATTTTCCATGGCAGTTTCGGAAGCGCGATTTCGATAAGAGGCAGATATTTTCACTGAAATGTTTGACTGAAATGTTTGACTGAATTATAAGCACATTATAAAGAAATCTCTCGCTGTCTCCCAACCTGATAATTCGTTATTTATGTCCCAGAGATCGCTTTCTAAATGTAAGGAAATCAAACTAACTCGCCGATTACAAAACCTAATTTATTTTTTAATAACACATTAATGATTTGTTTATAAAGGCCGATGCAATAACAGAATCGTAGCTAAAAACCTTATCGCGAAAGATTTAAGTGCAAGCGTCCACTCAATCTATCTAATCACCCGAGCCAGTTTCATTTTGATACGTGAAAAAATACTTTTAATTATTAACGTCCGGTTAACATTCCTCCCCGGTATTTTGAATATCAGTAAAGGATTATCACTTGTTTCCTGATTTGAACTGGGTTTCCAGTTCCTTCTCGAATATTTTCTTCAGGTTCTTTCATTCCTAATGTCCGCATGTTTTTCATTGACTTAAAATCCTTGCATGGGGTGAACAGATATATGTTAGGATAATACTCTCCATATAAAGCAGTGTTTCCCAAGCTTTTTACGTAAAGGCACATATAAGAGCAAATGAAAATATTGAGGCACACTTAACAGATTTTTTAAATGGAATACATTTAAAAGTTAAAAAAAAATACATTTATTTTCTTTCAATTTTTCTCTTCAAATATTTGTGCGGCGTATTTAGTGTAAAACCTGTGATTAGTGCATTATCGGGGTTTCTTCAAATTTTGGTCTAATAGCGATATGCAAATCCTCGTTTGTTCTTCAGTTGAGCATAGTTTTTCTCGTTTTTTATTTTCGATGTTATTTATTGTTGAGAAGGCTAATTCGCATAAATATGATATAGAAAAATGCAATGCAATTAGTAAAGGCTTCTTAGTCAATGTGGAATATTCATTTTATATTGAAATCCAAAATGTACCATGGGGTACTATCGATTTATTTTGAGCATTCGATTACTAGAAACGGTGGCCATTTCTTCATACTTCTTCTTAATATTTACACACACACACACACTGTAACACCGTTCTGCGTATGACGATAAGCTACATCCGCGTCCTTGGTAAGACAATAAACTACATCCGCTTCCTGGGTAAGACGATAAACTCCATCCGACAGCAAAGCCACTGATCAAGGGGTTTTGAGGAGAGTGGAACCACCTCTTAATTGCTGGTGGTAACATCTCTTACGGTTCCACCTATGGACAAATAGTTAACCCCCAAACTAGGGTCAAAAGACTATGAAAGTGTAAAAATATGTTTTTAATACCATAAATACATTTTTTGTGAAATATTATTACCAGCAATGAATTATTGAAGGAAAAAATTATTACCGGCAATACATTACAAGCTATATATTTTTGAAAAAAAATATTACCAGAAATATATTTTTAAAGTACAAAATATTGCCGGCAATACATTTTTGTAAAATAAATACATACAGCAATAAAAAGAATGTGTATATTTCTGAGGAGGCATTATGTACACTATACATTGTTCAGTCTATCATCCTCATCTTTGTTGTCATATTTATCACAACGTTTTGTCTTTTGTATGCTCCGGCCTTCTTCAGTTTGTTTGAAGGGAACCTTTATTTCGCTCGCTGGGATATACTTTCTTTGAGGACACATGACAGTAGATAAAGGCGTTAGTTAGATCCAGTGACAGGACGCAAAGAGTTTGACTTCAATACCTGGTTAAGGCGGTGGTGAACTTGGAGAATGGAATTAACAGGAGATAACTGATAACTGGCATCCATTAGATATGAAACGTGGAGCGAGAACAGTCTAACCCAGCGAGCAAAATAAAGAGATCAGTTCGACACTCCAACCACCTGAAGAATGCCGGAGCGTAAAACGACCTAAACGTTGTGATAAATATGGCAACAAAGATAAGGATGATTGTCCGAACAATGTCAATAGTATAGACATTTTTGTCGGCAATGAAATATCTCATTGGGGTTGATATGCCGTAAACCCAACCAAACAAAACCAAACCAAACGACACCGTAAAAAATATTTATCCGGCACAGTTTACAAGCGGCTGAGAATCACTGTTTAAGAGCATTTTCAAAATGTATTTAATTTTAATCTGTCGATAGGTTTAGTGTATAAATCGGTGACATTTTGGTGTGACGGAATATAATCCATCTCTATTGTGCCATTTATAATTTCAGGCTTCATAAGTTGTTATTTTGTGACGACATGTTTTGAAAGTTGATGGTAGACAGAGTTCTTAGCAAGATAAATGCGACCGTGATTATCAGAATAGATAGGTGTTTGTTCATTTTCATTTGACTCAATAATGGTTTTCAGTAATTGAATAATGAATTTTGCTTCTTGTATCATGGTTGCTAATCTCATTTAATCGCTTTCACATGTTGGCAACATTACTGTAGTTTGTTTTCTATTAAACCATTGATGTGGTTGGCAATAATTGTGAATTCTGTTGGGAATGTTTGACAATTGCATTTAACTATTGTGAATAACTCTATAGAAAATCAATTTTTCTTCTGGTGGTGATTTTCACAAGTCGGTGAATCTTCAGTGCACAATTTATCAGATATCTTGATATAATATATCTTTCTTTTTTTTGGCGGGGGGATGGGGAAAATC